CTACTTTAAAAATGAGACAACTAAAAATTGGAAAATTTTTAAAGATTTTTGCAAAAAACAGTTTCTGTCTCTTATACTGTTTCAGTTTCTTCAATGCGTTTCCATTTCCTTTTTTTTTCTTCCAGTTTTTTCTTATTTTTGATTTATTAATGTTTACAAATGATGCTTGGCCAGAGAGGTGATAATAATGTCTGTTACCATATCGAGACAACAACAATTTTTACATAATTATATATCGTTACAAAATTTGTATCGTTCAAATAATTACAACTGTTACTGTAGGCTCAAAAAATGAAGTTATTTCCTTATTTACTGCTTTTACTTTCGTTGTTTTATTCTGTAACATCTTTTTTCTACGTTTTAACTGTTGTTTGCTTTTGTTGTTTTTCTGTTTTTCTCGATTTCAATAATTGAAGAATTGAGTGCATTGTTGTTGTTGTTGTTGCTGTGTGTGTGTGTAGTTAAAAGTTTACTGCATTTTCACTTGGTGTACTTCATGATGCCGTAATCTGATAGTGATAACTGAATTGGACAGCATTAGTTCAAGTGAATAGTTTCGTTAAGCTATTCACTAATCCTCATCTACTGTGCACTTAGAACAGTGTTTATGAACACTGTTAGATAATGACGTTTTATTGATATGAAGCAGGAAGAATTTTTTTTTTTTATTCTCTTCTTCCTTGATGTAATTTCACTTTTTTTTGTTTTCTCCACTTAACTTAACACTTATAAATGTGTCTATGTGTTATGCTGTGTGTCTGTTTATATCCGTGTGCCTGTTTCTGTGCCCGTATACTGGTGAATTTCTATTAGAATTTAAGTGTTAATGCAGCTGTCTCAAGGTTAGCTAAGCATGTGTTTATTTTTATGCAAGTTATTAGCACTTTTCAATCATCAATCAAGAAAGAAAATAAATAAATAAATAAATAAATAAATAAATAAATAAATAAAAACATTTACAATTTGTTAATAGCTCAAATTGTTATCATGTGTCTATGGTATTCATCAGGTTCTCCTAATCATTGATATGCACTATTCAAGTCGTTGGTCTATCATTGTTTATTGGTGTCAGCAGTAAAGCTGCATACGTTATTAATTTTGTAGATTTTGAATTCAATGTTAATTGCTTCGTTTTCTCTAAAATTTTCTCACCTATTTGATTTCACGCAAAACAGCCACTTTTTAAACTATAATCTCCTATATAATGTTGATAAAAATGTATATCTCGGTAAATATTTACACGTTTTATGCTGACTAGAAAAGGTATTATTTTTGCTGTAGCATTATTTACACTATAGCATTTAAGTCTTATGCAAATTTTTTTTTTTTGAAGTCTTACTGTTGAAGGAAACGATAATATAGTTGATGTCTGTTTATGCACAAGTTTTTCCACTTAGCCGTTTTTTTTTTCTCGTTAACGATTATTTTTTTTTCTTGTTGGTTGTTTGTAGATGAAATTTTGCAATTGGAACGTTCTGTGAATATCACTAAATGCAGTCATCAATACAGCTTTGATTTGTAATGAAACAATAATTTTAACATTATGTATTTATAATTCTTTTGAGCGTTACACTAATCTCAGATCAAAGAAGCTCAAAAAAAATTTTTTTAACAACTTTTATTGTTGATTGACAGAATTACGAAAAAAAAGTTTTTGTTTCTACAGCTTAAATAATTTTATTTACTCTTAGTAATTGCAACATCAAAAAGTTAATGATCAAAAAATCTTACATGATTATAAGAAAAATTTGAAAACTTTATATAGTATTAATGCTTTTTTTTTTTTTTTTTT